CGGAAAAACAATGCAGTCCATGTTTATAGAACCAATATACATGTACAACATATATTGGCCTACATGTGATATATCATTTCAAATGCATTGTTTTCTACCTGCCAATATAATTTGAGTGCAGCAAACAGCAGAAAGAGATAGAGATAGAGAAAGAGAGAGAGAGAGAGCATGGCATGGCTGTTGCCATAAATTACACAGGCCAACAAAATTGTGTAGAGTTATTGTAATCGAGCAACGGAATCTGAACTTTAGCATAGACATTTAAATTGCTTGCATGCAGCACGTAGGCTGTAGCGCCTTTCTATGCAATTCTCATGACCAGCTGTAAGTTTTATAATGGATTCAATTTTGTATAGTTTTGTGAATAGATTTTAAAGCAATGTTTATCATAATCTTAATCTTAGCATGTTGAGTTCTTCTCTATGCGATTTTCATGTCTCAATATCTTAATTAAATAATTCGTTATGAGCTTAGCGTATCTCTTTCCATTTGTTTGTCTACGCTTAAAGTCATAAACCTTCTTTCCCTGCTGAAGTATTGTTTATTCTATCTCCTTCTATTTGTGTTTATACCCCCGCTCTTAGATAATTCAACTGCCCTTCTATGCAGCTTTCATGATCTGCTGCTCAGACTTTGGAGTTTGTCTGAAAGTCCAGCGCCTCACTTTCACTAACCCTTTCGGAAATTTCTGTTGAATTTATTAAAAATCTTCGCAAGAATTCCCTTTGCTTGCTGTCTGCTCTCTCACGAAGATTTTTAACTCAATTTAGAACAGCTTGCGTCAAAGTAAAGCCTATTTCTTGGTTACCAAATCGTGTTGGCCAGTGTAATTGCTTAATCGCAATAAATGTTTGTTTTTGCACATTAGACCAAATATTATAGATGAACTGGCCGAATTCCACATTTAATGACTTTGATTTCTAAAATCCATTATAATCAGATCAAAGTAATTTTGCATTATGATTGCATGCGTGTGTGTGTGTTTCTATTCACAGATAAGCTGAATGGATACTTTTGTGTTGATTCGCAGGCTTTTGGCCTGTCCCCAATTCGAGTCGAAATTCAGCTTCAGTTAACTTTTTGCATGCAGCTTAAAAATTATTTTTAAGTTTTCAATTAAGTTCTGAGCTGAGCTCGCTTTGTTTGTCTGCCAGCCAATCCCTAAATTCTTTAAAGTCCAATGTCAACTAACTTGCCAACACAAACTCAAGTGCGAAGTTTTCAGTTAAGTCGCTTTTGGTCTGCAGTCGAAATGTTGCATTGCAATAACTAAGACAGAAAAGAAGAAGAAGAAAGTCGAACAATTTTGAAGTGAACGAAAAACTGTGCTCGAGCTTAAGCAGCTGAACTGAATTTCTTAGTTAGACAAATGTTTTAATTAGCTGAAATTATTTGCAGTTGTCCGCTTGAAATCAATTATTTTGCGAGCTGCTCTTCAATTCTTAACTGCGGGAGCTGCGGGAACTACAGCAGCTAGGTTACATTTTATTTGAGCTCACGCACACACACACACACATACAGATATTTGTGTGCACACAGTTGTGTTCATGAAAATAGTAGCGCTGCATTGCAGAAAACTTCAACTCAGTGAAAGAATTACGTTTTCCACTGAAAAGCATAAGGATGCCAACATAGAATAGAATTTCAAAGAAAAATAAATATAAAATCGTTGCTTGCGATGAAAAGCCATTTGTTTTTCTTGACAATTTCCGAGAAGTAAAATTGTAAAAGAAAAACACCTTAGAAACGAGCTGCTTGCTCAAAGCAATTATAATTATAGTTGAGTAATTTATTATAATACATTTTTAGGTATGAATTGATGAATGAATGAATTTCATACGTACTATATATTCAAGGAAATATTAAAAATTAAATGTTATTTCAACACTTTATTTTACCTTCTGTAAACTTATAAATATATTTATAT